ACATGTTCGTATATCATAGAGGAAATAAGGAAAGTGTGCTTGTTACAGTTCATGGATATTGAAAAAAAAATACCATTGTTTACCTAATCACAACAGCATATGAGTTGTGAAATAACCTGATGGTGTATTCGAGCGCGACCTGAACGCTATTGTCACTTAATAGGAACACCTACGTGTAATTCCTATTAGAGGGACACATTCGCTGATAATGCTTTTGCTGTGTTGTTTTTCCTCAACTGTTGCGACGGTACATAAGTGGAGTTTACAAGCTTACTGAAGAACAAACATCCACGTGTCTGTTGGAGTACATGCGCCTAAAGCCTCGAGTTCACAATTATATTCGTGCGTGAGCACACATGTCTCAACGCAGCCCCAGTCATGAGAATGTAATACAACAGTACAAAATAGAAGGGAATCTCGCTTTTCACTAAAACCGAGTACGTAGCTCGGTTGGAAGCGCCTCGGCCCAGAACGTCTATTATTTTCGAAAGCTATCTTACAGGCTTCTTGGTTCTTCAGGAGACGAAGAAAATATTTGTGTGTACGTTTCTCTCTGCTTATAGCAAATGTCTGTTAATGGTCATCGACTTTCCGGGGCCCAGAGTGAAGGTGCGAAATATAACGGCTTTTTGGATGCAACAACCAGGAGGCTTTCTGGTCGACCTTATACATATCGTCAAAGAACACGCGTAGCCAATGTTGAAAATGTAAGACGCTGATGGTCGCGCACTGCGTGACTACAATCATCATTAGGATAAATGTCATTGAAGGGGGAAAGAAGCCAGGCAAGCCATTGATCTCCGTTCGTCATAGAACATTAAAAACCCAGGCAATAAAAATGCGTGAAATGTGCGAGCATACGTAAGTATATGGGGAAGAATTGGCGTACCGATTCAGGTGAATAAAGCTCCTCTCCTCGGCACCCCCTACTCTCCGTGCATGCGCTTATTATGGCTGTGACATTTCATTTTCATTTCATTTTATTATACTGTCAGCCCCATTCGGGCTATAACAGGGGTGGAAAAAAAAAAACCCAATATACATACAAAAAAATAGGTACTCCCTATACAACTTCTAATATACATAACAATGAGTGACAAGAAATAGCCAAAGCACTCTGCTCTTGAAGACATAGAATAAGCAAAATGTAAACTATACATCTTTATACACGACATCCTTTAGGCCCTTCAAGAAAGAAGGTGGAACACGCGCGTTCCTTTCTGCGTTTTCGTAAGCGCACGGTATACACTTCGGTCGCGCGAGACCTGCACCGCGATCCCTTGGCGCCGCGCCCTGGCACCGTGCACCATTCGCACGCACGAGATATATCGAGAGCTCGTTTAAGTGTCGCGAAAACAGCCGTCGCCCGCGCTTCTCGCCAACTCCGATGAGCGCCGATCGGAGCAACGACGACGACGCACGCCCCCTATCGGAAACTTGTCACGCGGGCGCGAAGGCGCACCACTCTACCCTCATCTCTACACCACTCTACTCACTCTACCCTCATCGGCTCATCGATGCGTCGACGCGATTAGAGCAGCCCTTCGTCGTCGCCCATTAATCGGCCAGGCGACTGTCGTCGCAGAGGATGGTGACAGCCGGAGGAGGCAGGGGGGACACACCGTTTGGTTCGGGCCCTGCGGGCACCATTAGTATAGGTGGGGGGGTGGCCCTCATCAGTATTCCGCCGAGTCACGGATCCGGGAGCAGCGGACCGGCCGGCCTTGGCCGCTTGATCACCGGGGCTTGGCCGCCGCCGATCGGTTTTCGTTTTTTTTTGTCGCACGTCCTCTTAGTGTGTACTGTATACATATATGCGCGGCCGTGATCGCAGTCGCCGTGAGTCCTTACTGCGCGGAATGTGTACACACTGCCGATCGCGTAAAAGCTCCCACGCTTCCACGGACGCGCTGCGGCCCCGTCCTTTTTACCGGGCCGCACCAACGGGTTCTTCCGGTGCGATTAACACCGCGACCGCACTCTACAACTTTCCATCGAGCACGGGAAAGCTCGACTCCCTACTCGAAAAGATGTGCTCGGTTAAGTCACAATGTCAAATGCGCTTTTAATGAGGACGATAGTTATTGCGCGAGAACAAAACGACGACACAGAGACAAGAAGGTACACGAGCGCTCGTCTCTGTGTCGTCGTTTTGTTCTCGCACTATACTATTGTCATGCCATACCAACTAGCCCGAGATGCCACACTTCTAAATTTAACGAAGAGCTTCGGTAACACATGGCTGGTTGGTGGTGCATAGTCATAAGTATATCGTCAAGAACTTAACAAGACACAAATAAGACAAGACGAGGTGCTCAGAGCCCTATTAAAGGGGACGTCAGCCGAGCCGCGTTAAGACAGTGCATTGCATTGATACTGCTCCTTCCGCTCCCCAACAGTGTGGGGTAGCAAACAAGATGCAATTCAGTTTGTCTTCTTGTCATTTTCCTTCCATCTCTCCCTCAGTGATTACGGCTAACCTCTTCTCAGAGTAGATGCCTGTGTCCGATGAGGTCGCATGAAGTTCTTGACGTGAATTCAGTCATTAACGACGATTTAGTGCGCCACGAGAAATTAGTTTTTTTTTTCAATCTTTCACAAAATATTTCACTTATTTAGCACTTCATTACGACGCGTTGAGTCGATTATGTACATTTTTTTTTTTCCGCAGTAGGCCTCGTCTTGTTGCGAATATGTGTTACCTCCAGTGATTTTTTTTTCCTTCAGGCAACCTGCTCGCGGTTCAAATATCAAAGCGCTGTTGCTTTTCTGTCATCGTACACATTGTCCACTCCTGATTTATGTTTAGCAGATGTTTAAACTGCCACATACTGTCTGATTTCCATCTTTGATATCTATATTTTATCATCTCCTTTTCTTTCACTCCCTTTTTTGACGACTCTACGTGATTCGTGTCTATGGTATCGCGTGAAGAGCGATATGTCCATGCAAGACGCAACGAAGAGTCTTTGACATCCGAGAAAAAAAGAAGACTGATTTGACTTGTTTTGGTTCCGACTTGCCCCGTTTAGACTCTCTTAAAAAGGACGCGTGAATTATTTTTGGAGATCTTACGCACTTGTTGAAACATCGTGGGTTCCGTGAGGGAGTAAATTGGTCTCTTTAAAGGGGGCCATTTGCGCGGAGAGTGATTGATTGATTGATATGTGGGGTTTGCGCGGAGAGTAGAGGGAGACAAAAACTAAGAAGAAAAGCAGGGAGGTAGTTAGGCTCGGTCGGCTACCCTACACGTGGAGTGAGTGAAACGGGGAATATTATAGATAACATAAAGATAGAAATAGATAAGATAGAGGGAGTCACCGAAGAGTAAAGCACAATCTTCTTAGAGTGAGGACAGATACGAGCGGCGTGCTTGCCCAGTACTTTGCATGACGTCAGAGGTGGTATACCTCGAGCAGAGGTTGTCATATATCTGCACGCAGGTGACCGACAGGCGATAGCCGCTCACCTTTAAGTGCTGACACGAAACATTTGCGACCCTTCTTCTTCGCAAGCGAGAATCATGTCGAGTCTGGCCGGCTGTCAAAATTGTCCTGACGCGGACGTTCGCATTTTGTCGCGATTGTTTAACGGTGTCCGGTGCTGTCACTGGAGCATATATCAAAACACTTTGCTCCGTGGCAGTGGCTGTTGCGGTCTTGCTCACTCAGTATACCGGATGAAATCGACTGCTCTCATCTTCTCGGTTTACTCCGGGGAAGAAATAGACCGATTAGACGACAAGTGGCCGGTGAAGTCTTAATTTCTCGAGCATGACGGTTCTTGGTGGTGTATGCTTCGATCATATTGGCGATGATTGTGGTAATGACTAACTGTTCTGGTCTTTCATCGATTGTAAATAGACTACATACGAGTGTTCCTGTATTAGGACTGTTTTTTGGAAGTACGCTTTTGCGATCTTTAATTAAGGGTACTTCGCTCGATATACAGTTCTTTACTGGTTCCGAAATTTTTAACTGTTGATCGTCAAGCAATTACGCTCTTATTACACGTTTATTATTGTACTCGCGGACAACTTTTCTTGGCAATGAAGGGAAGGTTACGAAGCCAAAGTGGGTGGTTGACACTGCTGAAGAATATAGTGCCACAATTGCGTCTGTGTTTTACGCGTGAAATCAATAATAGTAATAATAATAATAATAAAACAGCATTACTATGTTTTCAACGAGATGCTGTTTGTGAAAAGACGAAGCACAGCTCTGCCACGGTTGTCTAGTGGCTAAGGTACTTGGCTGCTGACCCGCAAGTCGCGGGATCGAATCACGGCTGCGGCGGCTGCATTTCTGATGGAGGCGGAAATGTTGTAGGCCCGTGTGCTCAGATTTGTGTGCACGTTCGCAAGGCATTGAGAGCGTTGTTGCGCTTTCTGCGGGCAAGTGGTCTTAGAGACAGGCTGTAAACAGCGTCGTGGATCGTCTGATGACCTTCTCTCTCCTTTTTTTTTACAACGTCTCTTTTCTCTCATCTTTTATCCCCCTTACCCCCTTCCCCAGTACAGAGTAGCCAGCCGGTCTGGGAACTGGCTAACCTCCCTGTCCTTCCTCTTTCAATCCTCCTCCTCCTCCTTTGTGTGCACGTTAAAGAACCTCATGTGGTCGAAATTTCCGGAGCCCTCCACTACGGCATCTCTCATAATTATTTGGTGGTTTCGGGGCGTTAAACCCCACATATAAATCAAGAGACGCAGCACGCATCAAGGAGATATTCGTATTTCTTTTGCTTTATGAAGTGACTGCATACTTTTGCACACCTGAAAATGTCGCGCATTTTACGTGCACGTCACAGTCAAAAATGGCGTCTTCGTCTTTATTGAGCGCTCATTGCTGTCCAGTTATTATATAAGTCATTAAATAGCATAAACGAATGTGTACAACACTGTTACACTGAAGTCAGCACACATATATGCCAGCACGTCTCCGTCGTGCACCATGGATGAGATGCTGACGTTTTGTGTCTCTCCAATTCACTTCTTTGCAGCTCTGGACAAGTTGTGTGACCCTCGCCAGTCGGCCATGGTTGTGGCGGCGGGGGCCGGCGCGGGTGGCGAGCCGGTGCAGGCGAGCAGCGCGTTCGACATGGCCTCGCTGGTGCTGTACGGAAGCCAGGCGGTGCCCGTGCGCCTCAAGATACTCCTCGACCGGCTGCTCAGCGTCCTGCCGCACGACGACGTCATACGCGTCCTGCACGGGTTCGGCTGGACTTACGAGGACTACGTGCGCGGATACATCTTGCAGGTGGGTGCACTATTCGTCTATGCGCCACTTTTTTTTTAAATAAATGTATATAAGGAGAGGTTGGTGCCAATGCGTCGCGGCGCCGGGTATACTCCTCTTCTCTTGCTCAAAAGTCGACATCGCACATTTCGTAGCAAACACAAGGCTATACACGTGCACATAGCACAACACTTACACAATGAGTTCACGTTTTTGAACACTGAGTGTCCACACCGCACAGGAATGTGTCCACACTACATAGAGAAATGTGTCCGCACCACACTGAGTTTGTCAAAACACAAGTAATCATGCCAATTTGAGTGTTCGCACAAAAACGCGTGAACGTTCAATAAAATGTCTAAGATGATCTTGTCGCTTAAATACTGAACTGTTTTCAGAAAGGTTTCCCCAAAAATATCGTAGTGAAACACGAAAATACTGTTTTGAAACATACCGTGGTTAACAGTGAAGTACATTTGCTTTTTTGTTTAGTACTTTTGAGCTATTTCTGATTCCTCCAGAAAACGAACGACTGCACGCGCTGCAATGGCTTGTTGTAGCTTTCCTTTTGGCCACGGACCCAAGATTTTCGCAATTGATGGAGGTCGCTTATCCAAAGAATTGAGTTTTTGAAAAAGGTTCTTTCGAGGTATACGTCGTGATTTTTACAATGCAGAAGAATGTGCTCCACGTCTTCTTGAGCTTCTCCACATGAGGAGGTATATGTAGCCCGTTTGCCGTACGGGCAAGCAAGGCAATACCGTACCGTATATAGTGGCCGGCACGTGAATTTTTTGTATAGCGCATTCGTTAGCAGGGCGCGCACAAAGGCGAGAGCGCGACCGCAAAAGGACGAAAATAAAGACGTGGCTTAACGGTGGCGTTCACGGCTGGCATTCGCTGATGGCGCCGATTATGGCTTAGGCGTCCTTTTTCTTTGCTCCTGTGGCATAAGCCTATACAAGTAGTGACCTAGGACGAAGAAAATGACTGATCCGAGTGCGCCCAGAACTGAACGAGCCTAGCGTCTGCAGGACGTCCCGGTGAAGCAACTGCGTCTCCCGGTCGCGTGCCCTCCGGTCTGCACGCCGTCCCAACGAGGGCCTATACAAATGTTTCACCAACGCGAGTTTCTCCTTGCGTACGGCAGCGTGGTGAGGTGATCAAAAGTTCTGAGAGGAGTCTAGCAGATCACACACACACACAAAAAAGGCGATCTTGGGACTGTTCTTAGTGTAATTATTTTTTTCCTTTAATGCCGGCTCGTGTTATCATCGTATGATCTTTATTAAACTGATCGTCTGTATTAAGGACAGCGATGAATCATTATAAAGAGCACTGTTTCGGAAGTTCAGAAAAATAAACAGCGTCATCAAAATAAACTCGTAATGTTTGTTTTTATACGTGTTATATACGTCGTAGTACCTCCTGAGATGTACACTTAATTGAAATAATGCGAAACAACGGTCAGTGGTACGGTAATGCGATGTTACCAGCTCACGCGGCAACGAAATTTTGTTATTGGTACATTTTTTTTTATCTTGCTATTTATAACCTTACACCATTGGCTAGCGGGATGTTCTTGGAGCTGCAGTTATTGGCCGTGCGCGTGTGTATACAATGCGAGTGAACTTCAATGCGGCCGCCCTTTTTGGTGTGCCCTATGGTTTCGGACATCGTGAGGGGCGCGGACGGTCGACCTCTGAAAGTCGCGCTGCCATATATCCATACCCACGTGCGTCAATACAAACGATCGACTCGCTAGAGGACACGCTTTAAGTTTCACGAAATTTTACCGAGAACAGCATTTCCGACGTGGTGACTCTATAATACGTCATTTCGATAGAAGAAAAATAATAAGTGGAAGAGACATGAGTTACCGCAGCTGCAGTTGTGAACAATGCACAGTTCTCGAATTTTCTAATTAGTTCCTTACATGGAAGCTACAGAACTGAAATACGAATATAATCAGTGGTGCCAGAAAATTATCCGTTGACGAAAGAGGAAAAAAAAAAAAGTGAGAAGCCTGTCAGTGATATCAAGGATATCATGATATAATAAAGAGCTATATCATAAGTTCGCGCGTGGCCTCATTGTGAGTTCACATATTGTGGTATTGGGGAGTAAAACCAGAATATCTATGGTATATGTAATGAGATAAGAGATCAGGGACGCCAAAAATACTGCGAAGTAGCCAGTAAGCTGCTATGTATATATAGAGCTATACCCAACTGAAAAAATTACATCGGCTCTATACATGCTGGCTCAACATGCAAGGCCGACCTAGCCGGTTATGGCCCTAGCTTTGTCAACAAGGTATTTTGGATATGGCATCACTCTGGCCGACCTCTGGCTGCCAAACATAGACCCAAAGCCGCAGGCCGACCTCAGGTGCATGGTGCACAGGTGTATTGAATAACCCTGTGCAATTTATATTGTGCAATCTAAAGACAGCCGATGCTGAACGCTCGCTCGCTCGCTCACACACACACACACACACACACACACACACACACACACACACACACACACACACACACACACACACACACACACACACACACACACACGCACGCACGCACGCACGCACACGCACACACGCACGCACACGCACACACGCACGCACGCACACACAAACACACACACACACACAAACGCCAGGCCCGCGCGGAAGGCGCTGCACAGTCACAGCGAAAGCTAGAAGAGCGGCCTTTGAGAGCCTTTTGAAAACACTCATTGGGTAATTACTGCAAGCACACTTGTTTGGTACCCACTAGGGATTATTATTAAGCTTTTGGGTAGTAGGCCGGTATATTCGCTATGCTATTTTTTGTCATTCTTCTGAGAAGTGTGGTATCTGCTAAACACTTGCAAGGAAGTATGTACCAATTGTTCATGCAGTGGCCGGCGACGATGAGTAATAATGGCATTATGTGCCGACAATTATTCTTTTACTTGCTGACCGTCCGCTGAACGTTTTCGGTCAGCTGAGGACCATTGGTTGCCAATCAAGGCCCCACTTCGCGCCACAATTGGTGGGCCGGCAGTAGCGGCTGCCGAGCACTATACCACTTAACAAACATCGACCCCATTTCAGTTGGGCAGATACAAAATGGCACGCAGGGAATCGAATTCGCTTTAATAATAATAATAATAATAATAATAATAATAATAATAATAATAATAATAATAATAACAAAGCACTAGCCTACAACTGAACTCATTGGGATCCAATTTACAAAAAGTGCAAGGCGTACAAACAACGGTATGGGCAGCACAAGTATGCGCTTCGTAATTCTTCTTGTGTCCGCTTTCCGCTCTTCTCTGCATTACTGCATTGCGCGAATCCTTGAGAGACTGTTGAGCCTTTGTGGATGGCTGACTCAGACGCATACGGCCATTGAAAGTCCTACGAAGACCTGTGGAGAACACTCAACAACAACAACAACAACAACAACAACAACAACAACAACAACAACAACAAACACTTAAAAAGCTGCACTCGCCTTTGGTGTGCATCGTTTCACTGAGTATCGCCGTTAAAACGCGTGTTATCGCGACGAGTTCACCCCTAGCTATTTGCCAGTTGTGGAGCACGCACCACTCCGAAAGACCGCCCGTAGCGCTGCCCGCATTTTGGCACACTGTCGCATGTCCGGAAGGAAAGGAGAAGGAAGCGCGGTCGCCGTTCACGCTGCAACGCCTCCGAACTGGCCGGAACCGCATCGCTTTTATCGCTCTCTCTCTTCCCGCCTCTGCACAGCCGTGAAGCAACCCTTTGGTTCACGCGGCGTGGCTTCTCGGCGTGACACCGTCCCGTTGTCGGTCCCCGGGAGGACCGGTAATGAAGCATTTCCCGAGAAAAAAAGGGGGCCACCATCACCGATCGGTGTCTTTGTTGCGAGTCTGTAATGCTACAGAGGGCTTCGCCGCATTGTTCGGCCCCGGAACCACCCATCTCGGACGTCCGTCCTGCACGCTGACGCGATGGAGGCGAAGCGCACGTTCTCGGACCGGGGCGCGAAAACAACGACTCGCGCTGGTCTGTGCCACAAAACTGTGCAGTTCTACGAAAGTTGTGTGCATATAGGATCGACAGTCGGGAAGACACTTCCCTATAGATTGGCTGGTGCGCATGTCAATTTTGGGGCAGTCTTATACATGCTTGTTTGAATGCCGCCAGCAGTTTTACCTACCTCGGTGCGCAGAACACAAGGGTGAAATCGTGAGGCATTCATTTCCGCAGATTTCACGCATGTACAGTCTGAATCCCGCTTGTCTAGAATTTGGTGGCTGTCGGAAAGTAGCAGCTACTATCCTCGAACTTATGCCCAGACTGACGCAAGTCATAGCAAACATATATTCATGCCGCGCATGCTATCCTATAGCGACGTATAATTCAAAAATGGACGGAAACTTGCCCGTGCGCTCGACTGCTCAGGACAAGTGTGACTCAGACTGTACTTTGGGTACATAGATATATCGTGGACATGGGCTATACGCGACTATAATGCACTCGTCAACTCTTAATCCACGTGACGCAGTTAGGCACTCCTTCCCGAACGAGCAGGCAGGCGTTGTGCCCAAATAGGTGGCAGTTGTCAGCCTGTTGTCTCCCTATTCATTTACTCTGCCTTCGTGTTATCTACGTACTCAAACCAAATAATATCAACAATTGCCCGCCTATTCCGGTCGCACCTGAGCGCGGCCAGAGAAGTGATTTGCTTGTATTGGCACCACAGTGGACGCGCCTTCTCGCTCAGTGCGAGAGCCCTATTACGTGTATACGAATCCTGATATCTCCCCCCTCCCATGTGCAGGGTAGCAAACCGGCTACTTATATAGGCTGGTTGACCTGCCGGCCGTTATTTTCCTGCTATTTTCTTTCCTGGTATTCCGAGAAATATCAGAACAGGGATGCATATTTCTGCTAAATTTCATCTAAGGTCGTGGTCGGCTGAAAGTGCTGCTGAATGATTACAGAGGAACGGGTGCGGTGTTGAGAGCTCGCTACATGGACG